GGTCTCTTCAGTTTCTTTGTCTTTTCCTTGGTTTCAATTTCCGTTTAGTAGGGGGACGAAGTCAATTCCGTGGTCTTACTGGTTCCTTTCCTCATTTTCTGGTCAACTTTTGTTAAGCTCGGTATAGGAGATATTATATTCAAGCAAGCCATTATTTGCTTTTTATTAGTAGGGTCGTCAACCCTTGAAGAACTAGGTTGAGGAGATTCAGTTGTATGCAGTTTTGCAGCAGTGGTAGGTGTCCTTGCCCCAGGTGGCTTTCTAGTCATAGGTGGCGTACCAATCGTAGGTGTCATTCCCATTGTAGGTGGAGTACCGGTCCGAGGAGTCATTTCAGACGCAGGTGACGTAGGCCCACCAATCGGAGGGGATATTCCAATCTCAGGTCGCGTACCAGTCGCAGGAGGCGTTGACATTCCAGACATGGGTGGCGATGCAGATGCGTTTGGAGTCGCAGGTGCAGCTACAGATTTTGCTAGAGGCTCGGGATCTGTGACTGCAGTTGATCCTTGATCTGATGGGCCGATTTGCATAGAAGACACAAAGTCTTCTTCTGTGAAGATATTTCTGTCACTAGGCCACAAGCCTGTCGCTCTAAACCCATTCTGTGCTATGTCCATACGAACTGATCTGGGGTACGCCTTACCCAACAGCTCTGCAACATTTCCCTGTTTTATCACAGCCCCAGGGTTTGAACGCAGCCATGACGACGCTGCTTGATTGTAGTTGCTTTTTAGGGATTTGAAAAACGATCTGTCTAGTGGCTGCAAACGGTGGGTTGTGTGTGCAGGAAAAGACAGCATGACTATACCATACTCACGAGCCAATTCAATGGCTTCCAGATTTTTCGTGTGCGTGCTGTGACCATCCAGCATCAGCAGCATTTGTTTTTGGTCGCTCTTTTCCAGTTTAGTGCATTTAATACAATGCTGCAACCATTGCACGAACAGTTCTGATGTTATCAATCCATTTTTCGAGCATCCAAACAATGTGTTGGGTGGAGCTCCTCTTTTTAGCGTTTCGAGCATCCTGACGCGCTTGTAAATCAACATTGGCGGTATGTACTCACCTGCTGCATTCATCGCACACACACATGTAGTGGTCAGACCTCTTTCTCCGCTTGTGAGCGCACCAACTTGATGTTTACCTTTTTGAGCAATGACTTTGGAAGGTTTGTGCACGGTGGATAAGGCAGTTTCATCGACGTTATACACTTTATCCGCAGTAAACTTGTGTTGTTCCAGTATTCCTTCGTATTTGTCAAAGAACTCATTCACACGCTCTTTATTAAAACCCTTACTTCTTGCCATCGATGTCGGCTCTGGCACACGCAGCGATAAGATTGGATGTTCTTTCATGAACCTAGCAAACCATTTCTTGCCGGCGATTTCCTTTTCCTTGTTAAAGCGATGAGGTAATTGATATTTTTCTGCAAATTGGTAAGCAAGTTTCCTGACATTGGTCACAGTTAATCCGAAAAACGCAGACTCCATGTTAAGTATATGCTGCGCTAATTCATTTTCCATTTCTCTTGTCATATCATTTGGCCTTCCGAATTTATTTGTTTTATTTAAACCTCTTAAATGACGTCGAAAAGTGGGTTTAGGTATAGAATATAATCTACATGCTTCGTTGAACCCTATTTTACCATCGCGATGCTTCTGCAGAGCTTCATCCATATCATCTTGCTTCCAAGAGTTATAAATTTTCTTTGCCATATTGATCACCTAAAACAAGAATTGAAATTAGCAAAAAATATCTCCGTAACACCTAAGTCGTACCAGTACGATTTAGGAAGTTTATGCAGGTACGAGTTAGGCAGCGGAGTGTACAAAGTTATAAATCAAAATTAATAACATAACCTAGAAATCGTTTACCGTTTGACCTAGCTCATGTCAACAAGAAAACACTACAAAAACAGACATAAATCAAAAAAATATCGATTTCATCATAATCTTCTCTGAAATGGCTTACGACTGACGTAAAAATATTAGTGAAAACTGTGCAAAAAACTTACTTTTTCATTATTTTTCGAGCGCGAAATCCGGCAAGCCGCCGCTTATTGTTGTTTATCCGTGCGACTGAGCAGTTCCATATTGTACCGCTAGATGTCACCTTTACATGGACGGGTGCGCAGATATCAACGTGGTACGACTTAAGAGGTGGTACGACTAAAGGTACTTTACCCTACTTTATACAAATTTTATTATCACATTTTAAAGGGACTTTATTCATACGCACGCCTACGAATTTCTCATCATCTGGACATCAATAAACAGGGATGGTTCGCAAATAAGTGCAATTACTGTCATAA